GGAATTACAGGCATGCGCTACCATGCCCAGCTGATTTTTTGATTTATTGTAGAGATGAGGTCTTTTCTCTCTGGCCAAGGATGGGCACCCAGGAAATGTTGGACAGGTAGGCTGAGAAGAAGCATACGCTGACCTTCAAGAGCATACAGTCTTAAAGAAAATGTGTTTCTGTTTCAAATGAGTATTGTTTGGATTTCAGTTTAAATACAAAGTTGCTATTTATAATAAGGAACATTGGGATGTCTGCTCAGAGAGGGTCCTCTGAGTTAGTGTGCAGAACCCATCATGCCAGAGATAGGAAACAGGGGCAGAAGGTCTCACAGCAAGATAACCAAGATAGCTCTACTCTGGAGCTGAGCCTGGAATTATCACTTGATGCAGGGCACAAAGTCCCAAAGGTGTCTGTTCCCTTGGGTGTCACGGTCCTTGGGAGGGCAGGGGTAAGAGTGGGCATGTCAGGGTCATCAGGTTCAAGCCCAATCCCGATGTCAGTGCAGTCCAGGTTGATGACTGAGGATAAGGAGAGAGGTCCCTGAGTGCAGCCACAACCCATGAGAGGTTGAGATCAACATGGACTCTGAAATATTTAAAGTGGATACAAAACGATTTTGACAATGCAGACAATTAAGTGTGCTGTTGTGAGCCATGGTGCCACTGAGAAAACATGTCCCCTGGCATCCTACACAACAAACACATTTCTACCTGAAAATGTACTGACTGTATTTGATATCTATGTAGTTGCAGTTCTGATTGGTCGTGAGCATATACTCTTGACTTTTTAACACTGTAGGGCAAGAGGATTATGACAGATTACAACAGTTGAGTATCCACAAGCAAATATATTTCTAGTTCTTTTTCAGTGGTATCTCTGTCCTCATTCAAAAATGTGAAACGTAGCCAGGCGCAGTGGCTCACACCTGTAATCCCTCCACATTCGGAAGTGGATATGGGAGGATTGCTTCAGCCCAGGAGTTTGAGACCAGCCTGGACAACACAGCAAGACCCTGTCTCAAAAAAAAATTGAAAGAAAAGTGGGTGCCCGAGTTAACGCACCACTGTACAAAGACTCCTATCTTGCTTGTTGGGACTCAAATTAATCCAAGAGATGACCCCTCTACTTAGAGAAAATTGCCAAGAACAAACAGAACAAGGGGAAGCTTATCACTCCAGAAATTGCTGAAAAGCTGGCCCTTGATGGGAGCCTGTTGAGTATGTGGCGTGTTCTGTACACACAGAGAAGGGCCTAAAAGAATGTGTGTTTTTTTTTATTTTTTTTATTTTTTGAGGTGGAGTCTCACTCTGTCGCCCAGGCTGGAGTGCAGCCTTGATCTTCTGGGCTCAGGTTATCCTTCTGCCTCGGCCTTCCAAGTAGTTGGAACTATAGGCATGCACCACCACGCCTGGCTAATTTTTTGATTTATTGTAGAGATGGGGTCTCACCAAGCTGCCCAGGCTGGTCTCCAGCTGGTGGGCTCAGGTGATCCTCTCACCTTAGCCTCCCAAAGTGCTGGGATTATAGGCGTGAGCTGCTGCACCTGGTTTAAGAATGTGTTTGATGAAGCAATATTAACTGCCCTGGAGCCTCCAAACCCGAACAAGAGCCACAAGCGTGTTCTGACATGAACATCTTTCCAGAACCCTTTCTGCACAGCTGGTGTGGCATCATACTAAACGCAATGTTTAAAGCAAACTAAAGGTTAAAAATTATGCTAGGCATGGTGGCACACACCTATAACCCCAGCACTTTGGTAGACTGAGGATGGAGCACTACTTGAGCCCAGGAGTCTGAGACTAGCCAGGGCAACATGGCAAGACCTTATCTCTACCAAACAACAACAAAAAAAGCCAGGCATGGTGTCATTACATGTAGTCCCAGCTACCTGGGAGGCTGAATGGGAAGAGTCACCAGAGCCCAGGAGGTCAAAACTGCAGTGAGCCAGGATCATGCCACTGCACTCCAGCCTGGGCAACAGAATTAGACCCTGACTCAAAAAATGAATAAAAATATAAATATATAAATATTAAAAAAGAGGGTCGGGTATGGTGGCTCACGCCTATAATCCCACCACTTATAGGCCGAGGTGAGAGGATTGCCTGTGCCCACAGGTTTGAGACCAGTCTGGGCAACTTGGTGAGAACTCATCTCCACAATAAACCAAAAAATTAGTTGGGCGTGGTAGTGCATGCCTGTAGTTCCAGCTATATGGAAGACTGAGATGGAAGCAGTTCAAGGCTGCGGTGGCTGTGAGCATGCCACTGGGTAACAGAGTGAGACGCCGACTCCAAAAAAAAAAAAAAAAAAAAATTAAAAAAGCAAGCCAAGGGAAATGAAAAAACAAATCAATTTTCTGCAATACTGACAAATGTCCTGCACCTATTCACATGTGTGCATGTGAAACAAGGCACAAAAGTATGGCCCCTCCCTTCCCTCTCTCAATTCTAGTTAATTTTGAGTTACTGTTTATTATGAGAAAAGAGATCATCCTCATTTGTTTTGTTGTTTAAAACAAGAAAATTGTGTTTGTTTCAGAGCAAGGCATGCTTTGATGACTCTCTAACACACTAATTGGAATTGTCGAAGCTACTTCTTGGTTCCATTCTAGAGATTAATCTGGGACATCTGAATGATGCCTTGTATGTGTGTGTATGTTAAATTTATTAATCAGTGGTCAACCCTGAAGGGGAGGAAGACAAATTAATTTCATATTCTACTTCCTAGGCCTCACTTACTAAGACTTCTTTTTCTTTTTTCTTTTCTTTTTTTTTTTTTGGAATCGGAGTCTCACTCTGTCACCCAGGCTGGAGTGCAGTGGCAAGACCATGGCCACTGCATCCTTGACCTGCTAGGCTCAGGCAATTCTTCCATCTCAGCCTTCCAAGTAGTCGGAACAACTGGCATGCGCCACCACACCTGGCTAATTTATAGATTTATTGTAGAGATGAGTCCTCACCATGTGGCGTAGGCTGGTCTCGAACTCCTGGGCGCAGGCTATCCTCTTGCCTCTGCCTTCTCAAGTACTGGGATTACAGGAGTGAGATGCCACACCCAGCCAGACTCCTTTTGAAAGCTGTCTTTTCTCTCTTCCCTTGAGTAAATCCCATGTATGATGAAACTCATCATAGTGGGTGGAACCTGTCTTGCCCCTCTTGTTTTCTAAAATGTATTTTATATGTGATTATGTGACAGTGGCTTTCAAGAAAATTTGTTTTTGCGAATTTTTTAAAAAGTTAATTTCTAACTTCTTTCACTGATAATGAAGAAAAGTACTGCACCTCTTAAAATATACCAAACTAATTGAGTTTATAACATAAATAAGAGCTTTTCCTGTCAGTCATTGTTTAATCTGCTTAGCTTAAATGTGCAGCTTTTTTTTTTTTTGAGTCAGAGTCTCACTATGTCACCCAGGCTGGACTGCAGTGGCATGCTCATGGCCACCATAGCCTTGATCTGCTGGATTCAGACAATCCTTCCACCTCAGCCTTCCAAGTAGCTGGAACTATAGGCACCAGCCACCACGCAGGGCTAATTCTTTTCTTTATTGTAGAGATGAGGTCTCCCCAAGTTGCCCTGGCTGGTGTTAAACCCCTGAGCTCAGGCAATCCTCTTGCCTTCATCTCCCAAAGTGCTGGGATTACAGGCATGAGCCACCATAACCTGGCAAATGTATAGCTTAATAGTTTATGACACGGTGTTCCTAGAACACAGCTGAAGGTCTGGTAAGCAGGGGGAAACTGAGGGGCGTGCTCCGAAACAGCATCTATGAATGAGTCACACCCTCTTGTAGGTATGGAAGTGTGCTTCATAAGAAGCCAGGTGGACTGGGAGTAGGGAGGACACTTACCACATGGGCACCAGCCAGACGACTCCCCTTATTTCTGTTTTGCATATGAGGAACCCTAGAATGTCCAGTTGAGGGTCCCCAATTTAATAAGCATCCTGGAGAGTCTTATGAAGACTTCTTAAATGTTAACAGGGATCTGGCCAGCTTTTTATTAGTTTCCAACTGTTAAAAATGTTCAGGTAATCTTTTCTACCTTCCCAAGTCCTAATTCTTACAGATTCCTTAGTGTTAATCAAGGCTTTCTCATGTGCCAATTTTTGATCTATGTATTATTTTCAGACGTGTTTAATAAACAAAAAAGCAAAATACAGGTCCCAAATCCTTGAACACATCCCATCCAATCCCTATACCCCTCCCATCCCTATGGCAGGCCCGCCAAGTTGCCTGTCGCTGCCCAGACATCCCACCTAACCTCCTGATGACTGGCCTGTCTTGTGCTGTTGTCTGTCCCCTCTTTCCAACATTTTTCTAATATCTTGGTGCCCAGCTCACATACCACCTCCTTCAGGAAGTTGCCTGCCCATTCCCTCCCCAGCAGGAAGCAAATGCTGGGCCTCAGAGCCCGCCCAGCTCTTTAGTCATCTGCAAGGGGCTCAGCTCTTTCCCTGACCACCAGGGGTTCTTACAGAAGAGAAACAAAGTACCACCCTCCTCTGACAGTTCCCTGCTCAGTAATACTCAGGCAGCTTTGGCTGAATAAAATTGCATGAATAGCCCAGCACAGGGTGTGAACAAGGGCTAGAGTAGGCCCCGAGCAATCTAGGGTTTTTTTTGGGCTTTAAGGATGATATTTAAGGTGGGCAGAGAGCTTGTGAACATGTATAGGGCTGCCACGTCATTTTAGGGCTGGGGAAGGTCAGAATCTACCATGGAAGTGATGCTGGGGTGTTGGTAGAGACGCCAAGAAGGGTAGGAAAGGGCTGGACTGGGCTAGATCCAGAGGCTAGGGAGGTCATAGGCCACCAAGAGTTCCCTGTGGGGTGAGATGAGGTGGATGTTCAGGAGAACAGGAAGGACATGTCCTTAGGCCACCAGGATTCTGAGGAAAAGTTTATGGTCACACATTAAAAAGTGAAAGCTAGACTTTGGTTAAAACATTGTCCTTTGTTCACTGGATGTAGATTACATGGGAAAAGAAAAAAGCTTAAAAAAAGAAAAGGAAATAATTAAATATTGTATTTTTTTGTTTTGTTTTTAAATTATTTTTTGAGATGGGTTTCTCACTCTGTCCACCCAGGCACGAGTGCAGTGGTGTGATCCCAGTTCACTACAGCCTCACCTCCTGGCCTCAAGAGATGCTTCCACCTCAGCCTTCCCAGTAGCTAGGATCACAGGAATCTACCACCATGCCCACCTATGTTTTTTGAGATGAAGTTCCACTAAGTTGTTCAGGCTGGTCTTGACATTTTGGGCTCGAGTCTCCTTGGCCTCCCCAAGTGCTAGGATTATAGGCCTGAGCCACTGCACCTGGCCTTAAACATTGTATTTTGAAAGTCTCTAAAAATACATCCTTTCTCAACCATGGGGATAAAAATGGAATGTTTAATCTCCGGGCTCCAGGTTTTTAACCACAAAGAAGGTGAGAGTTGCACGAAGCCCCTCAACAATCCACGCCCCTGACGTTCTGGACTATCAGTGCTGCCTCCCACTCCTGCAGGGACCTGGACAGCAAGAGTTGGGCATGACAGCCTCAGCTCCACAGTCGACTCACTGTCCTGTCCTGGCCAGGTCACCTCTCACTCTGTACCTCAACCAAACCATCTGGGAGAAGCAACAGAGTGGGACCAGATGCTTTCAGAGGGCCCATCTTACTCTCGGGTGGTTGGAGTGGGAATCTTTCTGTTTATCTGACAGAGTCTCTCCTAAAAGGATGAAGCTGGCAAGACAGCATGCTTAGTTAGCCACAGGAGTTAAGGGTGCTCTCCAGCATCTCAGAGACAGGCAGTCAGGCACAGACAAGTGGAGAGGCAGGAAGCCCAGGTCAAGCAAGTGGGAAGGCAAATGAATGAAAAGAGAGAGGGACAGCCTAAGAGGGTGAGGAAAACACAGGAAGACAGGCAACCGGCAGACGTGGGGGAGACGGAAAGACTACGTGAAATGGACATATAGATGAGAACATTGAGGGGAGAGCAAGGCATAAAGACAGGAAAACAAGAGGGGATGGGAAGACAGGCAGACAACTGGGTAGACAGGCAGAGGGACAAGCAGAGAGAGGGACAGACAAAAGGATAGGCAAAATAATGGACAGATGGGCAGACAGACCACACAGAGGAAATGACAGATGGGCAGGTGGGGGTGGACAGGCCAATAGGCAGAGGAAAAAGAAAAACAGGATGATTAGCAGAAAGGAAACATGCACACCACTGGTCAAACATACAGGCATAGGGGAAGATACAGAGACAGAGCAACAGGCCTCAACCATGGGCAGTCAGACGGAGGACCTGACAGACCCACAACACACAGACAAACATGCATGCACTACCTCGTTCTTTAGGGATGGGGGCCTGTCCTCAGGATAGTCCCAGCCCATATCACAAGGCTGCGTCTCATTGGAGCGGTGGCTGAGGATATCCTCCAGGCTGGCGTTGGCAGGGGGTGGCCGGAACATGAGGCAGGGCTCAGGGCTGCCTGTGGCATCCAGGGGCACGCTCAGGGCCAGCTGCTCAGCAGCACTCAGATTGAACGTGTGGTTCTTGACCCAGGCCACTGCACAGTGGTGGGGCTCTTCCAGGACCATGAAGACATGACCAAAAAAGTGGAAGACAGACAGGAAGTTGGGCACACTCAGCAGGATCAATAGCCGTAGCTGAAAGTGACCAAAGTTGCCTATTTCGGCTAGGACCTGGGCAAAGGGAGCCATATCTGCTGGTCACCACCTCTTCAGTCTTGGACAGCAGGTACCTCTGCAACTTGTCTGTAGGGCCACTTGCTCCTCTGGGCAGTAGTGGCAGCTGCATTAATGTTTAAGCCAGCTACACCTGTCACATCGCAGTTCCCTAGGTGTGGCCCAGGAAGGGCAGGATATGATGAAGAAATAGTCCATCCCAGGTTGTAGCATCTGAGGATGTTCTGTTGACTGTATGAAATATACAAACTCACAAGAGGAGCCAAGAGGGACCTTCTTAGACCCAGGAATGAGCTTTTGCCAAATGTTATGTATCCTACAGAAGTCATTCCTCCCACCACCTCCAACTGCAACATCCTAAAAGATTCACACCCAGCTCTAATGCCTCCCATGCCTGTAGAATCCATTCTGGGAGAAGTAGTTGCAACACTCAGAGGGACACAGAAGTCCTTTCTAGGACCCAGTGCACACTAGGCAGCAGGGGATAAGGCAGATCATCAAATACCGGGCCTGCACAGTAACTGTGCCAGCAGGCCAATCTAGTCTCTTGACCCTGCAGATCTTTTTCTCCTATGGGTCTCTGGGATGTGGTGGTATGCAACACCAGTCAACCCCAGGAAGCAGAGTGACCCATCAAAGTACAAGTGCACTTCCTTTCCAGCATCAATTCTTTCCAGCACAAGAATACAGAGCAACACAGAAGAGCCAAGAGTTGCATTGTTTTGTTTTGTTTTTTGGCTTTTTTTGAATTGGGGGTCTCACTCTGTCACCCAGGTTGGAGTCCAGTGGCACACTCATAGTTCACTATGGCCTCAAACCCCTGGGTTCAAGCGATCCTCCCACCTCAGCCTTCTGAGTAGCTGGGACTATAGGCGCACACCACCATGCCTGGCTAATTTTTTTTAAATTAATTTTTGTAGAGATGGGGGTCTCAGTATGTTGCTCAGCCTGGTCTCAAACTTCTGGCCTCAAGCAATCCTTCCACCTTAGCCTTTCAAAGTACTAGGATTACAGGTGTGAGCCACTGAGCCCAGCCAAGGGTTGCATTTTGAGCTCTACTTCAATCAAGAAGGAAACCATTAACACATTCCCAAGATAAAAATACATGCAAGTTGCCCCAGAGAAGCCCCAGCCTCCCTAAGCAACCTCAGTAATAACAGGAACACAGGACAAAGTCTCCCTTCACCATGGCCCTCATGCACGTGCACACACACGCTCCACAGCATGCATGCACTCACACATCCACAGACCCATCTACTTGTATATACGTAGGAAAGTATTTTCATGTTCTGAATCTTGAACTATCTTAAGAGATGAGCAGAGGAACAAGGGCAGAGAGGGCGCGAGGAAGCAGGCTTGTGCAGGGCAGCCCTGGTCACCTGGCGGGCACAGCTGCTAGTGGCCTATTAATCAGTCAGCCTGTGGCATGGGTCAAGGCTGGGCGGATGGTGGAGGGCAGGGGCAAGGTCCGCCACCTTGCGTAAGGAGCATACTTCGTTCTTTGCCACATCCCAGGCTCTCCCACCAGGCTTACCGCTGCCCTGGGCTCCACTTTTTCCCCTTTGCCTGGCTTCCTTGAGGGTTCGTATTCTCAGCATTGCCTCTGTTGAATTGCTGAGAAAACAGCTGTGACCAGCGGCCGCTGCCCAGTCTGCTGCTCCCCTTATGGGGGAGAACTGAGGTGGCAACATGAGCCTTGTCTTTAGCGCTCAGCATCTCCTTACTCCAGTCAGGATGAGCAACCTTGCTTTCTTTGACTCCAAGTAGCTAAGGGAGCTGGAGCTGGGGGGTAGGAAGCTTGGACTCTCCTACCGATTCATCTTCAGTCTGTCCCTGTCCTGCTCTGGGCCTCAATTTCCCCATCTGTGTAAAGGGGGAGCTTGAATTGGATGGTCTCTTTAGATTCTTCCACTTCTTGGTGTGTGATGCTAAAAGAAAAGACAGAGTGATTAGAAGACTCCCGAGAGAGGAGTGAGACGTGACCAAAGACCTTCTTAGACTCAATCTCCACTTGAACTACGATCCCCAAACCTTGGAACTGAGATCCTGAATATCACTGGCCTCACTTTACCCCCACATTCCTTCGATCTTCATTTTTTTGTTTGTTTACTCATTTCTCCCCTTAGCCTTGCCCTCTCTGCCCCATCCCAACCATGGTTCTCCATGAGGCTTTAAGGGCCACAACTAAGTCTCCTCTTTGAAGAAACCCTGCCAGGATTGCAGTAACTCCAGGAACCTCTCTCTATTTAGCGGTCTCACTGACCTGGGGAGTAGACTCTAGTTACCCCACCACACTGAGTGCCTCCAGGACAGATCAGGGTTGCCTCTAGCCCTTCAAGAAGATCTGACAAGCTATCTCCCTCACCTTCCTCTCCATGTACCCTGCCGTTGTTCAAGGCCATAACTAGACCACAGACGGGTCTGACAAGAGCTCTCTAACCACAAGTGCAGTTTTAAGAAGAATGAATATAATCTCCATACAGGAAATGTCAGAAAGTTCACTGGTAATGATGCCCAGGGAGTGAGGGAGGTGTTTTGTGGGGGGCGGGTGAGAGGAGAGGTATCTCAGATCCCTTCCAAATTTGTAAGTTAATGATAAAAGTAAATAAAAACTTGGAGTAGAACTTCTGGTTTCTGGTCTTGCATGAAAGAAACTTGGAAGTCGCAGCTCCATTTTAACAAAAAACTGAATGAACTGAAAAATCAACAATTGTTTTTAGAGCTGTCAGAGGAGTGCGGTCACATGGCAAACTGTTGCCCCAAAGTTAGAAACAGACAGGTAGATACAGAAAATTACAACTTTCTAGACTGGAAATCCACAGAAATCTCTGCAGGAACCAGTACCTGGATAAGAAAACCCAAACTATAAACGACAAATTGCTGGAGGCTCAATGAGGATAACTGCTTTTTTTTTTTTTGGAGTTAGTCTCACTCTGTCACCCAGGTTGGAGTGCAGTGGCATGCACCACAGCCTCGACCTCCTTGGCTCGGGCGGTCCTTCCACCTCAGCCTTCCAAGTAGCCAAACTACAGGTGTGTGCTACCATGCCCAGCTAATTTTTTGATTTATTGTAGAGACGAGGTCTCACCATGTTCCCAGACTGGTCTTGAACCTGTGGGCTCAGGCAATCCTCTCGTCTCAGCCTCCCAAAGTGCTGGGATTATAGGCTTGAGCCACTACGCCCGACCAACTCTGAGTTAAACACTCCAGAGAAAGGCCCCCACACTTCTTTGAGGTTGACCTCCAAGATAACCACTGGGTTCACGCAGAGATCAGAGAAAGATCCCCCTAGGTTTCCGGCAGGGGGAAAAGGAACCATTTGAAATAAGCCAAAGCATTCTGTTCTTCGTAAAAAGGCCTGCCTCAGGTTGGGTATAGTGGCTCGTGCTGTTGGGGCCAAGGCAAGAGGATAGCTTGAGCACAGGAATTCAAGAGCAGCCTGGGCAACATAGTAAGACCTTGTCTCCACACAAAATTTTTTTTAAATGAGCCAGGGTGAATGGGTGTGGTGGCTCATGTCTGTAATCTCAGCACTTTGGGAGGTAGAGGAGAGAGAATTGCCTGAGCCCAGAGGTTTGAGATCAGCCTGGGCAACTTGGCAAGACCTCATCTCTACAATGTATTTAAAAATTACCCGAGAGTTGGTGGTGCGCATATACAGTTTGCGCTACTTGGAAGGCTCAGGTCAAGGCTGTGGTAGCCATGAATGTGCCACTGCACTACAGCATGGGTGACAGAGCGAGAATCTGACTAAAAAAAAAAAATGAGCTGGCTGTGGTGGATGGAACACACCTTTCGTACCCACCCTTTGTCAGACCTAATCTACCTGGGGTAAGGGAAACGCCCAACTCAAGCCTGCTCTGGCCATGCTGTCTCACCTAAGAGGTGGTGGGAGACCGAGAAGCACTTGTAAAGTCCACAGCCCAGAGATGCAGGCTCACTAAAAAAACGGAGACCTAATTACAGGACTACAGAGTGCTTTCCCTCTCCCCATACTTTACCACATCATTTAAGGCTTATTTACTGGAATTCCTTTTACCCAGTACTTCAAGTCCAGCTTTCAACAGAAGAGTACAAGGCATTCTAAAAGGCAGAAACACAGTTTGAAGAGACAGAACAGGCATCAGAACCAGACTCACATATAACAGGAATGTTGGAATGATCAGACTGGAAATTTAAAACTATGATTAAGATGCTGTTAGGAAAAACTTTTTCCTTTGCTTTCACACCACCAGTCAGCACAGAAGACTTCTATGACTCCCAAATACGTGGGGATTTCTCCCCACCGGAAAACCAGCAGTTCTGTAGTAGATACCAGCTGGGTTTCCTCCAATTCAATTGTGACACTATCTACCTGGAGACAGTGTCGGATCCCACAGGTTGAAGGCTGTCTCCAAGACTGCCCTCCCCACTTTGGACACCAGTTGCCAAGTTCTGGTCTCCATTACTGAATTGACTGGCTTCAACTGGAATTACTATGACCCCTCTCTTTGCTAGAGTAGGTTACAAAACTCTGAAAACACATACATTTACCAATTTATTGTAAAGAATGTTTTAAAGGATAGAAATAGCCAGGTGACAAGATATACAGGATGAAGTCTGGAAGGGAGCTTCTGTGCCCATGAATTGGGGTGTGTCACCTTCCAGCACATGAATGAGTTTTTGTTTTTTTAAGATGAGTTCTTGCTCTGTCACCCAGGCTGGAGGGCAGTGGCACAATCATGGCTCAATGCCAACTGAAACTCCTGGGCTCCAGCAAACCTCTCACCTCAACCTCCCGAGTATCAGGGATTACAGACAAGCACCACTGAGACTGGCTCCCATGGGTGAGTTCTTGTTCCTTTCCCTGTTGACCTCCACATGTTCAGCTCTCCAGAAGCCCCTGGGCTTTGTCCTCATGGGCCTTCTTATGGAGAATTCACTGGCTAGGCATGACTGAAGCATGGACAACCATGTCAAAATGTGATTGAACAGAAAGGGCATGATCTAAACCCAGCAAGGCCGGTCTGTTCAGATTCTTCTTGGCCTCTGTGCAGCATTCCTTCCTCCAGGGTCTAGGGCAGGACC